AAGCTTGACAAGGCTGGAAGAACCGTCGCGGCGGTCAGACCATGACATGACGTAGAGATATGAAGAAGCTTCCTTTAGTTTTGATGCAGCCGCCTTCGAGGTTGGGGCCCAGGTGATGAGGATTGTCGTTGATTGCAGACGCTAAGAGAAATGGTCAAGAATAAAAGTCGGTGGTGCGAATGTTGTATGGTCTGTTTGTTGAAATCCTGTGCCCTGTAAAAAAAAATGATGAACAAACACACACAAAACACATCAGTGTACGCAGAAATACAAAAAAATGTTGTCGCTTCTGTTGTCAGAGCAGAGTTGAAGTAGGCGATCTCCGTTGTCTGTCCGATGGTCTGGGGTTGCACGTAGCTCGCCAATAAAACCTTCGGATTTGTCCAGCGATAATACTAGAACACTGAGGTATTCAGCGACTGCTACGATATCCGTCGACGGAACATTTTGCAGCAATTGAGAAGGATCCATGTAGAATTCGTTCTTTCTTTTAGGCGAATTGTAACCAGTCAGTAAATACACGGACAGGACGAATAAACACCGATGCTTTGCTCTGTAGTTGCCAACCAGGACCGGACCATTGAGACGTACATAGCAAAGTCGGCAATCAACCGAAGTTCGGTCAAGAAGTGAGTGCTCAGCCTTGACACTTAGCACAACCCTGACATCAGCACCACTACAAGTTCCGGATGCCGAATCACTTAAAACACAGAAAGTGAAGCGGGCGGAGGAGGGCGAATCTGCGGATTGCAAGATGATAATTGAATTAAGGTCTTACATGCGTGTTTCGGAGATATAGTATAGATCTAAATTAAGAATTCCAAGGGTTCTAGCTAAAGTCTCTAGTAGTCCGACCTGACAAACTTTGCGGACATTAAATGCCTCCGAAAGCCTCAGTATGGTCGGGGGTGGGTGTCTAGAGTTGCAGCTTGTCAAAATTCCCAGTAGTCCCCACCAGTAGTCCACCAACTCGGTTATAGCCGCGGATGTCGGTTTTTCGTCCTCTCACTTTAGTGGGAAAACACCTCTACCACGAGAAGGTAGTGAGTAGAGCTTTCTCAGCAGAGGCTATTTGAGACGCTCGGTCATACGGTAGTATTTCGCTGGGNAGTTGCGTGTATAAAATGTTGATACGCAGTACGTTTCGTAACCGGACAGTCACGCTGTCCGCATCGCGTAATCAGCGCATGCACCACTACACTAAATTCCAAATATGCACTCATTTCCACCTGTTGTGATCACGTGAAACTATCGCCGCGCTAACATGAGCGACGGAAATGATTGTACCTCCAAAATCTATGGATTTTTATGAAGAAAACACTGTTTAAAATGTTCCCAGCGTTGACGCATTACATATCAGTATATAGTCGCGACATAGATGACAAAAGCAAACAAAATTTCCCCGACGACATTTCAGCAATGTGAGCTGATCGAATAACTACTCGATCACAGGTTTTCGATCTACGCCAAGTGAATGGATATTAGACTAGACGCTTTGAAGGTGCTATTTGCGCTGAGGTACTACCGAGCGACAGGATCACATACACCTGGATAAGTGCACACAAAATGTGACTCCATGGCTCTCGTTTATCCACTGCTTCAGCTAGCATGCCTGGATTAGTGTGGAACAGTTACATGCAACGGTTGTTCGGGGAAATCATCTACTGATGGAAGTAAATGAGCGATCGATGTAGTCGAGTAGAGCGAATGGCAGTAAGTTGCCACTCTTATTGAACATGTGCTCGTGTTGCCTCGAAATGACAAGTTGAATAGTGAAGCAAAGGCAAACAACACCTCCAAACCTTTCTCCTACCCTGCCCCGATACTGCGTTTGCGTTCTGCCTCGGAAGGCACACGTTTTCAAAAATCGTTATACGGGTCACAAAACTTTGTTGGAGAGCCGTTTGGGTATACAATTCCCCCTTTAAAGAATCTCGGTGCTCCTGACTGGAGTTCTGTTTACGATGGTTTGGAAGCACTCACAAACATGATCAAACTGGCGATTGATGAGGATGAGGATGGAGGTTCCATGACCTGCAGCTTTCGAGGATGGGGGCATGCGAACTTCCCTGGAGTTCGAGGACGTCGCGGAACTGGCGGGGANGGCGGGAATATTAACGGGATAGGTTGATGGCTTTCTGAGTGCTTTTCAAGGATCGCGCGGGCAGTGTTGGGGGCGGCGCGAAGAGGCATAGCATACAAGGCGATGTGGTTTGTGTATTTGTGTGAAGAACTACTTGAAGCAGAAACAATCAAAACCACATTGACTCACACGGGTACTGAATCCACAATCCGCTTTACAAGTCCAACGAGTTAGAGAGTATAAGAAACCAATTACTTATTAAAAAAATACTACGTTTTTGGCGTGTGATGGCAGCCACACAAAATTGGACAGACTGATTGTCAAACTGAGTTCGGTAAACGACTGCGAGGTGACTGGAATAGTGGTGACAATAAGCCGAAGGAAAGCGACTAGAAGAGTTGGCAAGACAGTGCAAGTTCATGATGGTTTTATACAATCAGACTAAAACCACTGCATGTACTATACCAGTATCAATATGCACTGATCACGTTACACAATTTATTACCACAAAGCGATGCAAGAAGGAACCAATGTTGTTCACAATGGGGACAAGTTTAGATGCACTCACGGGACGTGGGATAGATTGTGCACAAAAAAGCATGCCTCGGTTATGAAGTGTACGACAAGTAAGAACTGATGTATATTTGAATAATAAACACGCTCAATTCGTGTGAGACACAAAGTGTTGTGAAAATGGATTCATCGGATGGACTTGGAGACGAAGCCGGTGGAGTACGGCCCCACTGGCCGTAGACATATTTAACCGTTGATTTATCAGCTTTTTGATTATTGTTGTCATACAAATAAAATAGGATCGTCTATAACAAGGAACGCTGCAAATCAGTAGCGTCAGTCAACATCTAAGAGTGCTGCATGTGATACCGAATATCATTTAGGAGAATAGGTAAACAAGCAGCTATTCGGGAAATCTTTTCTTGTTGAGCTCGGCTTGTGGTGGCGATGATATTTAAATATAGGCTGCCTCCAGCAACAGTAGACATACGATAACCACGAAGAATTAATTTTCTACCGTAAGAAATGAAGACACGAACCTCGGGATTTGCAATGGTAAAGTAAGTGAGGCCACAGTCGGATAGGTGTGAAAAAAGAGTGGACACGCCCGTTGATGGACCACGTGGGTTGCGAATAACACATCGACATCACACAGTGTACGCTGAGTCTGCTAGCAGTAATGGGAAAATAAGACCTGGGGCGAACTACGACTCACGTCGGGTAGAAACGGTGGCTCTTCTAAACCGGCTTCCAGACGAGCCCAGTTGGTATTCTGAAACCATGCATGACGTTTCACTCCTTGTGCACCAGAGTCGTCACAACCGAGACGATACGTCGGGTTCTTTTGAAGAAGCTGAAAAATAATTACCAACGTGAGGAGAGTGTGTGCGCTCAAGGGACAAGGCATGAGAAGTGAACAGTAAAGTCAAATTCGGAATCACAACTCAAAGCGATTTACTCACTTTATCAATGGCTCCTAATTACTCACTGAATGTTCGCACAAAATGCGAACAATGAGCCGCATAAAGAAGGATCATGAGGCCAAGATTCTCAATCGTACTGTAAAACGTCAATAACTAAAGACGATGTACAGTTGACTAAAGGAATAATAGATTGTCGTGTCGGCAGCATAGGTGTCTCAGGTTAGTAAAAATTACTCTAGCCAGAGTATCTTCGATTGGTTACCACAATGAGTGAGGCCAGGCACCAGTTCCCGCCAGACTTGTATAAGTGTTCAGTACTTGGATGATGCAAAATATATGCCAAACCTAGATAGTTCGATTACCAAGTGGTTCAAAGCGTGTTGGATTGCCTGCGTATTGTCACCCAGCAGGATGTCATCGGTATATTGTAGATCAAAATTGTGTTCGTTGGGAGCTTTCTAAATTGGACAAAGCATTCCGTAGAACACTCTATGGTTTCAGTTTCAGTTTGTACAACCATTAACCATTCACTATCGTGCGCTGGTTTTGGTTGCTGTCTTTTGGCCGCCCATTTGGATGACGAATAGGTGAAGAAAGGAAAGTTGAAAAAGGAGTCGAACAGAAAATCCAAAAGGTCAGTGATCCAAGGTTGCAAAGCAATTGAGAAGATGCAAAAACGCCACTGTTTACAACACCCAGCTTCATCACTCAGTGTCTCTAACCATCGGGTATGA